AAGGCATATGCATAAATAAAGTTGTTAAGAATAATAACAAATATGGAGGGTTGAAGAGGTACATTGGATTTCTATTTTGGGGGGTATTGTTGACAAGAGGAATGGTGGTGTTTATTGTTTAATGTTATATGGCCCCGGTTCTGTACAGTATATGTGTGACTGTACGAAAATGAAAATGGAAAATAAAACTATCTATACATAAGAAACTGAACCCTTCATGCCGGAAGATGTTCTTGTGCTCTGAAAAGCTGAAGTTGTATCCTAAACATTTCTGTGTTATAGGTCTGCATATTGTCTTGAATTCTATCATGAAAGCTATGGTGCCCCTTCTGCACATAGCCCTACTTGTCCTTTTTGTCATCATCATCTATGCCATCATTGGCTTGGAGCTCTTCATTGGTCGCATGCATAAGACCTGCTTCATCATTGATTCAGGTCAGGTATAATTCACCAAGTATAGCACAAGTTTGTCAGATCTATATTTTAAAAACTCCAGATTATATAAAATGACAGCCAAAATGTGGTTTTCAGAATAGCCTTCATTGCATCCTGTGGATAATCTGTATTTTTACTTCCCGGTAACCCTAGGCAAGAGAACGTCACCACTTTCAAAAATAATACATTTGAAAGTTAGTTCAAATATGAAATAACTGGAGGAAACAGTTCTGCTTTATCCTTGTAGAATAGAGTACAGTATTTGGATAAATTTTCTGAAATGCAAGTTTTGGTTGGAAAGTATTCATTTTGAAGATTATGAAAGGTTTCTGTAACACATCTTTTCCTACTGGTTTGAATAATTTTCCATTTTGATTGAAAGATCTTTTCAAGATAAGTCATACGTCCTAATCATGTGCCTAGATTTAAAAAGCAGTATGCTAATACATTTTTATGTTGGATTTAACGAAATAGCATAAATTTTAAGTCAATTTTATTCATGTGCCTCCTTTGGGTGGCCTAGGGCTATAGGATGGGGAGATTTATAAGAGATTTTTAGCATACCTTGGAAGTTGATTCAGCTCAGCAATAAATCTGTTAGATCAGTGGTCTCTGACCTTGGCAACTTTAAGACTTGTGGACTTCACCTCCCAGAGTTCCTCAGCAAAGCTGGCTGAGGAACTCTGGGAGTTGAAGTCCACAGGTCTTAAAGTTGCCAAGGTCGGAGACCACTGTGTTAGATGATCTTGTTTCTCTCATCACTGTGATTCATCTTCTACTTGTTGCAGATCTGGAGGCTGAGGAAGACCCATCGCCTTGTGCTTTTTCTGGACACGGTCGGGAATGCACAGTAAACAATAGCGAATGTCGTGGCAAGTGGGATGGACCCAATGGTGGAATCACCAATTTTGACAACTTCTTTTTTGCCATGCTTACTGTCTTCCAATGCATTACCATGGAAGGTTGGACGGATGTTTTGTACTGGGTAAGTTATGGCCTTCTGGGCAAAGGAACAGAACGCTCCTCTGTTCATACTTCCTTGTAGTATGTAACTAGTGTCACAACCCCTGGTATGCCCAAATATGGGAGGAAGTCCACTGCTTCCATTCTCTGTCTATC